AATTTGTTAACATACTCTTACATGTCCATCCAGTCTTCAGTAATTTGGAATTATAGCGGAAACTGAGTCATTTCATAGTTAATACTCCTTGCAGCACTTTTTTTTTTTTGTCCCCCAGATCGAGCTGCTTTGATGTCGCATGTTAGGGATCTATTGGAGACTTCATCACGTTTTTTTTCCAAACTAATAGAATAATCAAACTAATAATGAACTGTCTTCCCAGCTAATGAATTGAGTTGCCATCCAATTTTGTTTAACTCATTCATAGCTTGACCCACTATAGTTTTCAGTCGAATTTTTGCAATTCTTCCTTCCCAATGACTACAGTTATCAGGCTAGCTTTGCGCTTTAGTTAATGCCGTTACTTGTTGTTTATTGAATTATGCGAGTTGTGTGACAGCTAAATTTTCCGCCTGGGGATTATTCATATACAGGAAAATATTCTAGGAAAACACCTAAAATTAGAGTCGTGTCAAGCTCAAGTACAATAGTTTTAGTAAGTATAAAAATAAGTGATGCCTAYTTACTTCAGTGGTTAAGTACAACCTGCCAATCGTATTTTTACGTACTGAGTTATTTTTAAAATGATAAAGCAAGACGTGGTCTTGCATACATTGTTAGGATGGATTTAGTTCTGGCATGAGTCATGGATTAAGATTTTGTTTCATAAGTATCTATATATTCTCGTTTATAAGACTAATTATATATTTTTATGATTGTAATATTTTCTTGATCAAAAGGTCGAGTGAATAGCAGGGCTTGTGATAAATTCAAATCAAGAATGGCTGAAAGTCCAAGCTTTGAGGATCAGGAAGACTTCGAAGAACCAAAATATTTTGTAAGGGTGACTGGATTCTCGACAAACACCACGCAATATGCACTTCTGAATTTTTTCGAGAACACTCGACGATCTGGTGGTGGGGACATTACTGACATTCAGTTCAACTACGATGAAGGTTTCGCTGATATAATATTCTGTTCTAATAAAGGCAAGTATTTTTGGGTAACCAAACTTAATAGACTTAAATACCTTCGTATGCAAATTACCCCGAACCTTGTGATATTTGGCATTCGGAGAAATGTTTTCATATAGAGCGATGGTACGTAATCYGTGAAATAAAAACAAAGTAGTTTTTAACTAATAGTCGCAATTCAGTGCATATTTAGTCGAGATCACTCAAGTGAATTGATCTATATATGAATACACAGGAGACATCAAAGTTAACAGAGAACAAATAAAGTATTGATGAACAAATGACTAAC